GGGGCTGCGCACGCCCACTGAGCAGGGGCATGAACGTGCACATGTCCTGTGCCATGCGACACGCTCACATGACCACACAACTCACTTGGGCCGCAGCACCCTGCCACCCGGGGCCTAGGAGCCCCTCCCAATGTGCTGCCCTCTATCAGGGGCTGAGTCTGCAGTCTGGGGCTGCCCAGGGAGGCAGGCTGGGCAGGGGCTGCGGCCCTCCAGCAGGCAGTACCTTTGGCAGCGGTGCTGTTGTTCGGAGACGACGCAGAGGGCCGCCTCTGTGTGAGAAAGACCCCGGGGGCCATGGGCTGGGAGGTGCGGCCAGCCTGGGCCCCGGTGAAGGCGCCGGCGGCTGTGTACTCATGGTCAGCCAGGCTGCTGCTATGCGATTCAGACGGGGGCTCTGGAGAGCTGCCCTCCTGCGAGGCCTGGCTGCTGGCTGTGCTGGTGGAGGCCGGGGTGGTGGAGGCCGGAGTAGTGGAGGCTGGGGTGGTGGAGGCTGGAGTGGTGGAGGTGGAGGTGGTGCCGGCAGAGACGGAGGTGGAGGTGGAAGGGGAGGCGGTGTTAGGAGTCAGCTTCCTCTTGGCACTCTTTTTTTTCCTGCTTTTCTGCTCCTCCTTTGAACAAAATACGCAGGGCAGCCTCAGATGCACGGCCAGTGGGCCATCAAAGCAGGGAGCTGCCCGCACGGCCTTGCTGGGGGCACTCAAGAACAGCAGGGCTGGGTGGCAGGGGTCTGAGGCCTGACTCTGGGCCGCCTGGGACACAGGACTCATGGGAACAGGGCACCAGCATCCTCAGCAGCTGCCTGGCCTCCCCGTCAGAGTCAGTTAACCTGGCAGTTGAGCTTGTAGGATGGCGCTCCCACCCCATCACCCAGCTCAGCGGCCATAGGCATCTCCTAGTGCTGGAAGAATATTCACTTTGATCCTAATTAACTTCCTTGGGCACCCAGATGAGATCAGGCCTGGTTTGGAGGGTATGTGGGGCTCTAGGACCCTCTGTTTCTGAGTTGGAACAAGCTGAAGGTGG